TTTCAAAGAAACTTTGCCACCATTTTTTCCACACGAGCAGACTCCAACCTCCGTGCCCCTCCCCTCCGGAAAATCCAGGAAGAAACACTTGCTGTCTCTCTAGCCAAGTATTTCCTGCAGCTCTATGGTACTTGGTCATTTTTTCTTATAAAATGAGGTAAAAGGGGCAGGGGGGTCCATTTTCTTGCTTTAATGTTTTAATATCTTCAATAAAAGTACTGAGACAGAGAGAGAGGTTAGACAGGGTATCTTTTGTCTTGCCCCAGTTAGAATTTTTAAACAAATCCACTGGGCTTTCAACATGAAGCCAGAAAATCGGGACTTTTTTAAAACGCCACGGGACAAATTGTTATAAAGCATGACTGTCCCGCTGAAATCGGGACGTCTGGTCACCTTATCCTTGTAGCAAACAGCCTGTTTCAGTTTAGCCTGATTAGAAGAAGAAAAAAACCTGCCTTTGTCTCCTTGCAGCAAACAGCAAGTTTCACTTTCAATTTCAGTTTAAGCAGGGGGCTCCTGATGATCAGCTGTTTCAGGCTGCAGGTATTGCCATAGCCTATTGAGCCTCCGCAACCCCCATTTTCTCCATTTGCTGCAAGGAGCTAAATTGCTGGGAAGCAGAGGCCAAAGGGTGGGGGCCGGTGGGTGGGTGGGGCTAAATTTGGCGTATAAGACACACTCAAAATTTTCACCCTCTTTTTGGGTGGGAAAAGGTGTGTCTTATACTCTGAAAAATACAGTAGGTTAGAAGTTGAACAGCTCCCATTTCAGGCTCCCAGGATTGAAATTTGCTTGATAAGGGAGTTAGTGCCAAAACAAGCAGCTCTGCGGAATAGATAGTCAAGGTCGATCAGGTGCCTCGAGCTGCAGGAGTCCTCTGCCTGAGGCACTGCCTCAACTGGAGTTTGGCATATCTGTATTTCTTTGGACTCCTCCACTAGAATTGTGCAGGGCGGTGCAGTGACTCAGAGGTTAAGAGGCTGGGCTTGCCAGCAACCCAGGTTCGAGACTCGAATACCACGTGAAAGGGTAAGCTCCCATCCTCGCCCCAGCTCCTAGCAGTTAGCAAGCATGCAAATGCGAGTAGATCAATAGGTACCTCGTCGGTGGAAAAGTAACAGCATTCCATGACCATGCTGGCACAAGACCAGCAAAATGTCTTCAGCCAGAGTTGGCTCAATGCCCTTGAAGCGGAGATGAGCACTGTCCTCTACAGTCGGCAACAACTAGCGGAGTAAAATCCGCCGAGTCTCCTTTACCTTTTACTACAACTGTGTAGTTGGGAGAGTTGTGGTCTTAGGGGAACTGAGCATTCTGATTCTGAGCTAAGAAATCTGCACTTCTCTCTGGTTTTGAGGATAATGACTTGGGGGGCCATCAGAGTTTTGTTTAACAGTTGACCTTAATCCTGTTTGAAATTTGTGAGATGATCCATCTTTATAATAATATCCCAGGATGTGAGGGTAAAGGCCGGATAGAAGTCAACAGTAAAGCAACATGAAATGGCAGCCTTTTTTTAAAAAAAAGAAACAGTTTTTAATTTGTATTTCTCATATATACATTCACAAACATATAATCTCATAACTATTATTAATAATGTGTCTTATCTTTTAATATTTATAACAATTTTTCTCCTCCTACAATTAATATAATTGAGATTGCTTTTCTACCATTCCATACATCCATCTTATTTTACAACAACTTCTTCCTCCTTCCTTCCCTCCCTTCTTTCCTTCTCTCTTTTCTTTCCTCCTCTCCTTTCCCTTTTCTACTTCCCCTCCCTCTCCCCCACCCTTCCCCTCTTCTTCCCTTTCCTACCCCCTCTCCTACTCTTACTTCCCCTCCATTTCTTCCTCGCCTATGAAAAGGCAGTCTTGTTTAGAAACTCCTCTCCCTTCCCCCATCCCTAATCCCATGTTATAAATCCTAAGAGCTGAGTGGAATCTAAGTGCCATTTTCCCAGACTCAAACGGAGGACTGGTTTGGTGGTAGTTTGGGTCTCAAAGACCAACCTGTTGTCTGATGTAAACAACCTTTCCCTGACAGCAGCCTGGGTTGTTGTTGGTTATCGCAAAGCAGGTTGTTCAGGAGTATTGAACTGAATTGGCCAACAAATCACCAGAGGGAAGCAGACATTAGATGAAAAAACAAAAGATTCTCCAGGTCAGGGCTGTCCCAAAGGTGCTTTTTTCCAAAAGGTAGTAAACTGGACTTTCTTTTTCCTTGAAGACGTTTCGCTTCTCATCCAAGAAGCTTCTTCAGTTCTGACTCAGAGCTGATGAAGCTTCTTGGATGAGAAGTGAAATGCTTTGCACCTTTGGGACAAAGCATTAAGAACAAAAGGATTGGGACCTGATTTCAGAATTTAAACTCAACTTCCATGTACTTTTTAGGCTGTATATATGATGCCTACTGAAGGAGACGACTCTTCAAAAAGTGTCCCTTTAGCGTTGCAGAGAGTCTTCTATGAACTTCAACATAGCGACAAACCAGTAGGAACCAAGAAGCTAACGAAATCTTTTGGGTAAGTGCTGGCAAGGGGTTTCCAAGACCTCTTCAACAGCTAAATGATAAACATAATTTTTCTGGTCTCTTTAAATTGTGTACCTTTTGTGAGTGCAGACGGTGTCTTATTAGGGCTGCAACAAAATTAAAGCATGTTTAATCGATTAACCCCACAAATCTTAATCTGCGTATTGATTCAAACTTTCATATGGGCAGAAACAATGATGGGTTTTNTGTGTGTGTGTGTGTGTGTGCAAAATGTGTGGAGGCCCAATTCTAATACCCTAATTCTTTGAATATTCCAGATGGGACTCCAAGAAGCACACAGGATATGTGGGGCTGAAGAACCAGGGTGCAACTTGCTACATGAACAGTTTGTTACAGACATTATTTTTCACAAACCAACTACGAAAGGTAAATAAATATGTATTCAAAATGGACTGTGTGTGTGTGTGTGTGTGTGTACACATACGTATGTACACATGCACACACATGGGGTGCGGTGGCTAAGACATTGAGCTTGTTGATCAGAAAGTTTGGCAGTTCGAATCCCTAGCGCCGCATAACAGAGTGAGCTCCCGTTATTTGTCCCAGCTTCTGCCAACCTATAATTTGAAAGCACATAAAAATGCAAGTAGAAAAATGGGAACCATCTTTGGTGGGAAGGTAACAGCATTCCGTACGCCTTTGGTGTTGAGTCATGCTGGCCACATGACCACGGAGACGTCTTTGGACAGCGCTGGCTCTTTGGCTTTGAAACGGAGATGAGCACTGCCTCCTAGAGTCGGGAACGACTAGCACACATATGTGTGGGAACCTTTACCTATCTACCTACCTCTCTCTATCTATGTGTGTGTGGTGCCTTTGGCTTCGTGCTTGTGAGAGCAATCGATCCGATTCACGCTTTGCTCACACAAGCACAAAGCCAAAGGCACCAGCCTGAAGATGACAAGTGTGACCTCGTCGAAATATCGCCAAGACCAGCCTAGGTATGTATGTATGTATGTATATATGTATGTATGTATGTGTATATGTATGTATGTGTATATGTATGTATGTGTATATGTATGTATGTATAAAATATTTCAGAGAGGGCATCAGAATGTCATTTTTAATGTTTGTACACAGAAATAGTGACAATAAAGATTATCTTACCATTATCTTCAAAAACTTTTGCTACTGGCCAATATTGGTATACATTGCATTGGAGAAGAAAACATTAGGACCACTCCCCTGGGTTTATTTCTGGGTTTGAATTTACTGGCGATCCTTAGGAGATGCCATATTTATGGTTACCTCCCATCGGAATCTTAATTTGCAGCCCCTGTTTGTTTTGTGCTGGAGTATGTTTTTCCCCTCTCCCGATCGATAGCGTTCACTTTATGTAACGGAGACAGCCCTGCTATTAAGAGGAGTGTGATTGTGCACAGTCATAGATTTAGTCTCGTGACTCGTGCACACAAGCAAGGCTTTTCCAAGCACTGCGAAGCAGCGTTAGCAGCAGCAGCAAAGATAGTGGGGATTCAAATCAGTGAAAGGAAGAAAAGGGCAGTGCCATTTTATCCCTGGTTGCCGGTTTATGGCATCTCAGAGCTGCTCAGGTGCCATTGTCATCATGAGCTCCCATGTTCCCTATTCAGAAAAACAGGGTTAACTGGGCTGCTGTTTGCATTTTGTTCCATTGTGAATTTTGTCGTTAGATTTAAATTAGATTTCTCCCATGAGCAAAAAGTCTCTTTCAGCGTTTTTCCTGCTCAGTGTTTTAAGTTTTCATTGGACTTTACAGAAAGGATAAACGCTGATGGCTGGGAACAGCCATCTTTGATCGTAAAAACCTTTTTTTTCTGTGAGGAACTCTTGAAAGGGATGCTACAGGTAGTCCTCGATTTACAGTTGAGCCCAAAATTTATGTTGCTAAGTGAGACATTGTTAAGTGAGTTTTGCCCCATTTACGACTTCTCTTACCATGGTTGTTAAGTGAATCATTGCCGTTGTTAAGTTAGTAACCTGGTTGTTAAGTGAATCCGGCTTCCCCATTGACTTTGCATGTCAGAAGGTTGCAAAAGGGGAGATCACATGACTCCAGGACGCTGCAACAGTCATAAATATGAGACAGTTGCCTGAATGTCTGAATTTTGATCACAGGACCATAGGGTTGCAGCAAAAGTCACAAGTGTGAACAATGTCATAAGTTACTTTTTTCAGTGCCATTGTAACTTTGAATGGTCACTAAATGAATGGTTATAAGTTGAGGGATACCTGTATTTGAAGATGAGAAGGAACTTTTCATGTTACTGATTTTTTTTCTACGGCCCCCATCCCATCCATGCTCCCATGATTGAGTTTACTAAGTTTCTGCGACGAATGTAGTTAGATCTCCACATTTGAAAGAAAAGAGGCAATGAAGCACCCAAAACATGCCGATGGAAAGAGGCAGAATTATCAGGGAGCTCAAAGACCTCTTCGGTGAGGCAAGGCTAGAAAATTTGAAGGGCTTTGGTTTTTTTTAACAAATATATCAAATTAATGCATGAACAATGTGACACCTGGGTGTCATACATTCTAATATAAATAAAACTAATAAAGTTAATCATAATTATTTCAATCAATTTATATATTTCTAATAATGATACACATTTATATTAGGTTGTAATCTGTTATTATTCAATTCCATGTTTTCTCTTGTTGTTACTTTTATTTTATTATATAAAGGTGTATACACTACTTTTCCCACTTCTCTTATTTCTATCACTTATTCTATCATGTCACCCTTCATTAAAAGACTTTTCCTTTCTATCCTATCTAACTTCTAATCATGTCACTTACCTAAAAAAAAAGATAGGGAGAAAAGGAAAAGGAAATCAGAACAATAACAAAAAAGAGAAATAATCTATCCATTGTCTCTTGCCCGCTTCAATACCTTAATTGCTACACTTTTCTTTTTAGTTGCCTCCCAAATTCCTCTGTTGAATCTTTATCTCTGCCTGCCATCTGCTTCTTGTCTGCTCAGTCTAGGTATTTGAAGGTCTTTATAGGCAGTCCTCAACATACAACCACGATTGAGACCAAAATGTATGTTGCTAAGTGAGCTTTGTCCCATTTTATGACTTGCCTCGCCACAATCGTTAAACAGATTCCCTGCAGTTCTTAAATTAGTGGCACAGTTGTTTAGTGAATCGGGTTTCCTCATTGACTTGGCTTGTCAGAAGGTCGCAAAAGACAATCACACGACCCCGATGTGATTTGAGGCATTTTAAAATCATCCATCCTGGCATAAAGAAAGTGGGCAGATAGAGGTCCTTTTGGACTTTTCCTGACATTAGAACCAAATCCTAGCTCCGGTGGAAGAATTGGTGTAGATAAAAAAAAGCACAACTTCACACAAACTCTTTCATCCTACAAGACTCTTCACCACCACAAATCGTGGCCATTAGCTTGAGTGGCTTTAAAACCTGTTGGAATAAATTTTACGGAGGATGAGTCTTTGAGTGCTTTTGATCTCGAAGACCCTCCTGTGAATGTCTGAGGTAGCAGGAAATGCTGTCATAAACCAATTCCAGCAACTTCCAAGGATTCTTTCAGTCCATGAAGCTTTGATCTTGCAGAATACAGAAAAGTGCTTGGATTTTCATGGTTGCTCCACTCATACACTTGAGGAAGGCAAGCAGGTTAAATTATTTTCTCCCACTCCTCTGCCTTATTTCCTTATCTCTAGTGCTTTTCTTGGGTTTTTATGGCCCTAAATAGTAACAAGCTGTCTTACCCTTTTTTTTCAACATGTCCACATTTTTTTAAAAGCAGAAAGCTTTGTATTTTGGTTTATTACTATCTTCCTGGTTAATAATGAGGGTCCTTCGTTGTTTAGGCTTTGTGCCAAAGGAAAGAAAGCCACCTTTGTTTTTGCTTCTTGTTTTTAGAGCACTTTATTTTCCTTCTCTAGTTCTTTGATTTTAGGAAAGTCAATCTCTTGGATAGCTCTGCAAACTAATTACCCCTGAGAGTTTCTTTGGCCTTTTCGGCTGTGGGTAGTTGCAACTAGAGTCAACTAAAGATGTTCCACTAAATAAGATAACAGATTAACAGAGTTGGAACGTGGTTGTTCTCATCGCTTCCAGGAACGGTTGCTGCCTTGTGTCGGTAGACTTTCACAATCCTTTCTGCCTTCCATCACAGGTTCACAAACAGAATCATGGAAAGTTCAGTGTACTGTAAAAAGCAAGTGGTCAGTCCCTGAGCTCCATTCATTCTCCAAAGTTGACTCACGACGTTTGTTGAAAACCAGGCCAATGAGATACAATTTTGCCTGATAAATATCTCCTACTTCTGCAGCAGGTCTGGAAACCCATCGGAATTCTTGCAGGCAGAAATTTTCCATTTTATTTTGCAGAGCAGAGCTGGGAGATTGCAAAGCATACTTATCCTACTCATAATACCTTGTATTGCCTTATGTAAGAGGGAAGAAGGACAGCATAATCTATTGCAAACATTATCCTAAATTTTGACCCAATTCAACCTGCTATATAAAGCAAAATGATACGATGTGATAGGATAAAAGAGCACATTGGCCAGTGTGAGAACAAGTGATGCCCTGGATTTTTGTTTCACACAGACTTGAAAGGGCGTCCCATGGAAATCCCCTCTTCAGCATATTTCTACAAGCATTTGACCAAGAGGCTGGGGGGCGGGCGGGGGGGGAGTGTATGTGAGTTTGGTATTCAGAATTGTTCTACTGATTGACCGTATCTTTCGGAATATAAGACACTCAGAAGTAGATGCACCTAGCTTTTGGAAAGCAAGGGGGGGGGGGAATCTGTCTCTGTCTCCCAGCAATTTGCCTCCTTGCACCAAACAGTAAACAGTACAAAATATATACACTGTTTGTGGTGTTACATTTCAGACTATACTTGTACAGATGCTGTTAAAATTGATGTGGCCTTCTGGAAGTTTTCTGCTATTTAAAAGAAGATACAATAGCACTGGGCCTCTTCAGATCAAGCATTTATTTTAAAAAGCTTCTTC